GCCCGTTCCTTGCTGGCTCTTGGCTGGAGGCCACCCTCTGTCCCTGTGGTGTGGCCCTCTCCTTTGAGGATCCTGAAAGCCAGCCAGTGAGAGCCGTCTTATACGATGTGGTCCTGTGTGTTCCGCCACCTTTGCCATGTTTGGTTGGTTAGGAGCAAGTCACAGTCCTGCCCATGCCCTAGGGGAGGGGACAACACAAGGTGTGGACACCAGGAGGTGGAGGCCGAGGGCATCCCGGGGTCTGTGCGCCACCTCATCTGACAATGGGGTAATGAAAGTGCCTTCCTCAGAGAGGTTTTGTGAGGGGTAGAGGAGGAGTAGAGGGGGCTTAGGAGTCCCTGGGGGGTGCAAATGCTGGACGCACTCCGCTGCTCACTGAAAGGTTGGAGGTTCAAGTTTACTGGAGGTGCCTCAGAAGAAAGGCCTGGCGATCTGCTTCTGAAAGATGAGCCATTGAAAACCCTACGAAGTGCAGTTCTGCTCTGACACACCTGGGGTCGCCCTGAGTTGGAGTCGACTTGATGGCATCGTAAGCGTTTGGTAGATGCTAACTGTCATGAGCTGTTGTTATCTGGCAACGTTACTGCAGTCCAGGTACGTGCACTTCTTCCCCGTGCCCTCGGTGGTCTCCAGAGCACCCTGTGCCCCCTCCCGCCCCTGCTGCTCTGTGTGGCCAGTGCTGACGGTGGGGAGAGCTCCATCCTCACTGCTGGCATTCGGGTTCCTGCGGCTGCTGTGACAAAGTGCCACAGACTGGGGCTTAACACACAGGAGCTCTTTCTGTCCCAGTCCTGGAGGCCGGGAGTCTGAAATCAAGGTGTCTGCAGGGCTGTGCTCCCTCCGAAGGCTCTAGGGGAGGAGCCTTCCCTGCCTTGTCGTTTCTGGTGGCCCCCGGCGTTCCTTGGCTTGTGGCTGCATCCCCCTAATCTCCGCCTCTGCCTTCGCAGGGCATCTCCCCTCTGTTCTGTCTGGATCTTCTCCTCTTGCAAGTCAGATTGGATGAGGGTCGCCCTTCTCCCACTGTCCTTCAGTCTGACCTCGTCTCTTGCCATGTCACCTTAACTGCTAGCATTGCAAAGACTATTTCCAAACAAGGTCACATTCACAGGGACCAGGGGTTAGGATCTAAACATGGCTTTTGGGGGCCACATCAACCTGTAACGGCTTGGCTAACGTGTCTTTCTCAGCCTTTCCTGGCGTGGCTATCTGTGATCACCCTCAGAGCTCATTCCTCACTGCTTCAGCCCACTCTGACCTTACAGGTACTCCAGGGATTACCCTTTTCACACGGTGCCCTTTCGGTTGTGGGCACCACGGCACCCCTGGTCTCAGAGCAGCCTGGGCCCTGCTCCCCTCGCGCCCTGGTGCTGTGTCTCCAGTGAGCCGTGTGGGGAGAGGAAGTGGAGAATGGCCCGTCTCCCCTCGTGCCCTGGTGCTGTGTCT